TATGTCTGGAGTGTGTCTGATCTTGGAGTGAAATGTCTCTTTATTCTCTCTCTCTCTCACATACACACACACGCACACACACAGACAGCGAGAGATTGAGACCAGTACTTATATCTTTGTGGGGACCACTCATTTCTGTGGGGAAAACTCTAATCCCAACAAGACATTAACCTCTACCCAGGCCTAACCTTAACCATAAGTAACCAAACAAATTATGAGACTTTTGGTATTTTTCATCTTTTGATTGCATTCACATATCTTTGTGGGGACCTTAAAAATGGTCTCCACAATATAAGAATAACAGGTTTTTATTACATTGTAGGAAAGATTTGGTCCCCACAATGTAATATAAACATAATCCACACACAGGAAGCGAGTGAGAGAAGCAATTAGTACTTGAATTAAGCATTATGAAATATTATAACCCAAAAATAGTTAAATACATTTAACCCACCTTCTGTGACATATTGATTTATATATGTGGACAGAACTTTATGTAATTTTTGGAATATGGGTTATAATATTATTATAGATATAGCACCAGGTAAGCCCACACCTGTATTGTTACAATTGGCAGGACCTAGGAAAGATGATTGGTCCACTAAATCATCGCCGTGGTTACAATGTGTGACCTCACTATCGTGGGGGGGGCTACAACAGGCTGATTGGCCCTGAAAGCTGGATGTGGCCAAAGGCTGGACCTGGCTGGGGTGACATGGGCATTTTCCTGCTTTAGAAGGGAAAGATGGACCAGGATACAAGAAACAAACAGGGAGCTTCAGACGATGGAATGGCTGAGACAGAAAGGAAAATGCAGGACATCAAGTAATATCCCTAGTCAATGGAACTTGACGTGCATTTCTAAGGACAAGTTGGAAGGTGATGAAGAGGTGATGAAAAATTATGCAAGTTATGTTTTTATAGTTAGACACTGGGAGATGCATAGTCTTCTGGGTAAATTCACTTTAGTGTAGTACTCATTGGAATATAGTGTACTACAGTCCTGTACTGGATAAGCAGTTGGAAGATGGATGGATGGATCATAAGGTTATTGCCATAGTAGATACCATAAATGGGGTCAGGTGCGAAACCTCATGTGGCATCGAGGACGTCTTCGTGGAGGAGTCGGTCTTGCGTAATTCCGATTATCTGAATATGCTTGTGGAGTGAACCATATTCAGCAGAATGTGAGGAAGACGTCCGTTTGGGAGAGGAGGGGTCCGGCAGGCAGGCGGCCCCTGACACAGCGTCATGCCCCACAGAGGAAAACGGCCCACAGACTTTGGAGAACTTCCCCAGGTCGTCTGGCTCCTTCTCTGCAGCGTGGGCCGTGTCTGCTGGTGACGGGAGGCTTCAGGTGCAGGTAGAAACCCAGACAAGCTGGTGGGGAGGTCCATGCGGGGAGGTCCATGCGGGGAGGAGGTGCTTTGGAGGGGGGGTGTCTGTGTGTCACCAGAGAGGCTGGTGCTAAGGCCCGCCCCTCCCCCCTCCCCAGACAATACCTCCCAAGCAGAGGGAAGTGCGTCTCCAGACCAAACAGTGGCTTTGGAAACTAAAGGTCTACTTCTTTTTTTCTTCTTTTTTTCTTGGCTTGTTTGCCGTCTCTTCTGTCGGGGGGGGGGGGGCGGTGGCGGGGGCTTTCCATCCAGAAGTGGCTATTTTGGTCAGATAAGTGCAGTGCTGGTGGGGTGATGAGATGAGATCAGCCCTCGCTCGTTGGGGAGCGACAACAAGGCACAATAAACACTTTAGAGCCGACCCAAACAGAGTTCTCCCATAAAGCTCCGCCCCCCAGCCAGAAAAAAAGGGGACCGGGCTGATAAACAAAAGGAACAAAGAGAGAAAACAGCTGAGTTGTACACATGTGGGTGAGTGACGGCCTGTTCATTAAGACTAACCACAAAACTGGCTTGTTTTTTCCCTACTCCATCCTCAGTCGACAGTTCATTAACATTCATTTGAGTGATTGTTTTCCTACTCGTGTATAGAGGTTTCTGTTTGAGTATCTGCTTATATATGATCCTTAGTTCACATTTACAGTTTATATATTTAACAGATGCTTTTATCCAATGAGTAAGGCGGGGGGGGAGGGCGGGGGGGGGGGGGGGGGG